TTGTGGTTCAAGAAAGAGCCAGATATCGGAAATCTTAAAATTTTCGGGACTGAATGTTTTGTACATGTACCAAAAGAAAAAAGGAGAAAATTAGATAAAAAGTCTATTAAAGGATTTATAGTAGGATACGTTGAAAATTGCAAAGGATATCGTGTATATGTTCCAAATATGAGAGATGTAATTATAAGTAGAGATGTATGTTTTAAGCCAGAAAACTTTACAGCTCAGTTTAAAAGGCCTGAAATTTTAGTTGACAATTCTGAAAGTGAGACTAATGAAAGTGAATACGAAAATAATAAAATTGAAGATGAATCAACTGAACATAATAATAGTGAAATGGGTCGGCGATTGCGAGATAGATCACAGATTCGTATGCCAGATTTTTATGATTGCCCTGTTACATTTATTACACAAAGCTTGCCTTTAAATTATAATGAAGCGTTAAAGTCTGATGAAAATGTATCTGAACAAAATAATTGTAATGCACCTTACCGCGAAGCAATAGGAAATTTAATGTTTTTACAAGTTGTTTCAAGGCCAGATATAAGTTTTTCTGTTAATGTAGTTTCCCGAGAGCTAGAAAACCCGAAGCAGCATCACTGGACGTTAGTTAAGAGAATATTTCGTTATTTGAAAGGAACGATGGATTTGGGAATTTTATACAGTAAAAATAATAATATTTTTGAGACATATAGTGATGCTGATTATGCAGGTGATAAGAAAACTCGGAAATCTACATCTGGAATTTTGTGTAAATATGCGAATGCTGCAATAACGTGGCAAAGTAAAAAACAACAATGTGTAGCTTTATCAACAACAGAAGCCGAATATGTAAGTGCAGCTCTAGCAAGTAAGGAAATGATATGGCTAAAGAAATTGTTTTTTGATTGTAACATTAATTTAAGTAACTACATCTTGTTTATAGATAATATAAGTGCGATTAAGCTAATCAAAAATCCTGAATTTCATCAACGAAGCAAACATATAGATGTTAAATATCATTTTGTACGCGATTTATTTGAGAAAGATGAGATAGATGTAAGGTATGTAAAGAGTGAAGAGCAGATCGCTGACATTTTTACTAAAGCTTTGCCAAAGCCCAGATTTTTGTATCTAAGAGAGAAATTGGGAATGAGGAATAAGGGACAAATTTGTTATAGAGATGTTGAGTTTTAGGGAGGGTGTTGAGGATTGATCTCGAAAAACTCATCATCAAGTGAGCATTTGAGCTAACGGTAAACACAGTCGTCGGCTGATCGCACATTTGTCTCTAGAATAAGAAACCGAATGTTCTGGATTATGAAATAGACGCAAATATAGAAGCATAAGGAGACATCCAGAACATTCGATATGCAGTAGAAGTAGGTATATAAGCGTGCTGTAAGTCGAGCCAAAGTTCATTCAGTAAGTTCATTGTGTAAGATCAATGTCAGTGTGTCGGCTCGGTTAGTTAAGTTCAAATCGTCGCGGTACGTGAAGAAGTGTACTTGTTACTGAATATTGTGTTAAATAAACTTTTTGCGTTGCGCCTACATATACCGTGTTTCATTTAAGAAAAACCTTCAACAGTTAATAGAAAATAAAAGGTACTTAAATACAAGCGCGCATCTTCAATTAAAACCCTAAATCGTTCAACCAATTCCAAGTTGAGGTAGGCACACGCCAATGTTCATGTCCCATGCGTACACACAATCAAATGTATATACATACATACATACATATATATATAAGGACTTCACAAGATCGACGAAATACAAATGCTGGACTGTAAAATTGCTACAGGCGGCAAGAGCTTCGCACACAGGCATACAAATGCTCATAGTACATGTCGCAAGCGAGAGTGTGTATGCATGCTAATCGCGAAAACATTTTCATTATGCGCACTAACGCTTTCATACCCTTCCCACAAATAATAACGAAAACGCATGGCAAACGGCTTGAAGAGTTCGGAATACACTTCACGTAAGGGAAGAAACGGCAGTCTAACGCGAAGAAATTTCAATTTTCGTGAGCTGCTGCTTGTGCTCACATGCATACATACATATATGTCGCAGCGCGATTTTCATCGCTGATGCCATTCATATTTACAGATTTAAAAGTGTAGCGCGTTTCTGTTGTTGCGTGTCGCTGTCGTTCACCATCACCGGAAAGAGAGTGAAGCCACGCTTCCACCACTCGACCGACCACCACAAAACAGAGTCGCACTGGCGATATATCGGTCCATCGACTTACCACCACACTTTCCCGTCTGTACAGCAACCCTGTTACTGTGTTGTACATTGTCTCAAGTGTTATACAACACTGTCTGCCTCTTTAGGCGCCAACTTCAAATTAATAATTCAATCTCCTACACGGCCTACCTGACCAGTCACACGTCCCTGTGTGATTTCGGACACATAGTCACATTTCCATTTATTTTCTCTTTTTTTTTTTTTTCACATTTGTATTTCACATTCTTTTCCTTATAATAGGTTCACAATCTTTAGCTTAGTCCATTAAGCTTATTGTACAATTCGTTTTCTCTTTCTTCGTACTTATTACTTTTCAGACTTTTACAGTTTTCTTTTCACAAAGTTTCATCACATATTCTGACTCCCGCCATAACAAATCCATCTGTTACAGTGCAGTCTCATATCATTAGACTCCCGCCATAACAAGTCCATCTGTTACAGTGCAGTCTCATATCATTAGACTCCCGCCATAACAAGTCCATCTGTTACAGTGCAGTCTCATATCATTAGACTCCCGCCATAACAAGTCCATCTGTTACAGTGCAGTCTCATATCATTAGACTCCCGCCATAACAAGTCCATCTGTTACAGTGCAGTCTCATATCATAGCCAATTGAACTTCTGCCAACGCATCCTGCCATGATCTCTGACTAGTTTCAACTGCAGTTAGCATATTTTTCAGTGTGCTCATCACACGTTCTACTTGTCCATTGGCTCTACAAGCCCCCGTTGCAATTAAGTGTAAATTGATTCTTTGAGAGGAACAGAATTCACGAAAACCTGAACTTGCAAAACAACGACCTTGATCTGCTATTATCCTAGTGGGTAAACCAAATATTGATACAACTGATTTCACTGCTTTGATACAATTTTCGGTATCTAAATTCAAAGTATGGTAAAAATACACAAACTTTGTAAAAGCATCTATTAGAACGATTACGTATTCCTTCAAATCACTTTTCCCGCTTAATTTACCAGTTATATCAATATGTATGGTGTGCCACGGGATTTCTATCTTGGGAATTGGATGCAATTCCACTTGCTCTTTTCCTACAGGAGCCTTAGATATTTTACAAGTAATGCAATTGTCCACAAATTGACGCACATACTTTGACATATGTTCAAACCAATAGTAACTATATACTTTATCTAAAGTCTTTTCCCATCCGAGATGCATGATACTTTCGTGTACGTGATTTATTACAGCCCATCTAAAGCCCCTCGGAATTACCGGCAAACATTTTGTTCTTCCATTTCGTTGAATCTTCCTATGCAATATTCCCTTTCGCAATTCATAAGTCCTCCCTAGACTATCTGGCAATTCATTGTTTTTATATTTTGTTATTAGGTCACATATCTCCGGGTCACGCTGTTGTTCAGATAACAACCAATTATCAGTCACCTCTGCCAAATTTACTTGCATTTCTGGTATTTTGATGGCATTTTTAATTTTCTCTGATACTGGATTCCGTGACAAACAATCAACATGCGCCATTCGATCGCCTTTCCTGTACTCTAAATCAAAATCAAAGGATTGCAGAAATGCCCACCATCTATGTACTCTGGGAGTTAAATCCAACTTAGTACGGCTAGATTTCAGAGAATTACAGTCTGTGTAAACGACGAATTTGCGTCCCTGCAAATAATGACGGAAATGTTTAATACCGTTAACTACTGCTAGAGTTTCTAATTCATACGAATGATATCTAGATTCAGCAGGAGAAGTGCATTTACTGTAATACTCAACAACATGAGGGTTATTATCTATCTTATGTAACAATATCGCTCCATAGCCTATTGCACTTGCGTCTGTATGCAATTCTAGTGCATGCTTTGGGTCAAATATGATTAATACTGGTTCTTGCGTTAGGATATTTATTACTCTTAACCGAATTTGTTCATGTTCTGATTTCCAAATGAACTCCGTATTATTCTTTGACGTGAGTTGGTACAAAGGCTTTAACATTTCTGAGAATTTGGGGACGAATTGTCGGAAATATGAAGATAACCCAATAAATTGTCTTAACTGTGTCACGGATTGTGGCGGTGGTAACCCTACCAAAGCTTGGATTTTACGCACATTCGGCCTGATTTTTCCATCACTAATTTCAAACCCAAGATACTCAATACTTGTTCTGAGAAAGGAGCATTTGTTTATGTTAAACGAGAAACCGGCTTTAATTAAAGCTTCCAACACGATCTGCAAACGACTCAATGCTTCTTCCTTAGTTTCGGCTGCAATCAAAACATCATCAATGTAAACAATAGCAATAGTATTTGCTAATGTTCCCAAAGCCTTGATTATAGCCCCGCTGAAACACTGACGGTGCATTTTTAAGACCGAAAGGCATTGTCAAAAATTCATATTGCCCTTCAGGCGTTACAAAGGCTGTTCGCTCTATTGAGTCCACATGCACAGGGATTTGATAAAAGCCACTTGCCATATCAACACATGAGAAATATCTTGCACCACGAAGTCTAGCAATCTGGTCTGAAATAAGGGGCAACGGATATTTGTCTGCCACGGTGTTATCATTTAGCATACGATAGTCCACACAAAGACGATCAGTACCGTTTTTCTTTTTAATCAACATCATCGGACTAGCGAAAGGAGAACAACTTGGCTGTATGACATTTGCTTTTAGTAATTCATCAATTTTTTGTCGCACTCGGTCTTTCTCATCTTCACTTAGTCTGTACGGGCGCCGTTGTACTGTCTTTTGCGGGTCAATCAATCTAATCTCCAATTGCCCTGTGGTAACCCGTGTCTTAGGGAATTCCGTCAATAAAGGAGTCACTATACAATTTCAAAATATTTATCAGTGTCATCTTATCATGTTCGTTAATATGGCTACTTGAACTTATAATGTCTTCGTATCCTGTTTTATTTACAACCTTCACCTCTTTGGTTTTATACATCTGAAACCTGGCAGCGTCTATTAAAACACCGAAGCCCTGACCAAGAATTTCACGGCCAATCAGCACATCATAATTCAAAAATCTATCCAAGACGACATGTAATAATATCTCAAAGCAATACTGTTCAATGGTTATATTAGCCAAAATTTGCTGGATGCTACATATTGAGTCATTGCCAATTCCATTTAACTTTACAATGTTATTAATACGTTTCCCCTTAAATTTATCAGCTTTGCTCTCCTTCACTAAGGAACATTCTGCACCAGAATCGAAGCAAAACGGAACAGACTCACCGGACAGATTAATAACTCCAGACGGGGGAGCTATTGTGCAAATGTCCACACGCTTCTCATAAACCTGGCCGCTTCCACCAGCTCGGCCCTTGGAGCAAGATGAGGCGAAATGTCCTGGTTCGTCGCACTTGAAGCATCTTATGCCAGCCCGGTCCTTTGGTCCAGCCGTAGTGCCTCCATTGTGATTCCTTCCCATGTTCTTGCTCTTCTCCAGTCTGGATCGACATTCGGCGTACTTGTGGCCAACCTTTCCGCAGAAGTTGCACTTCATCTGGTTCAAAAGCTTGGGCTTCTTATGCTCCTGAGTAGCACACGTCTCGCCATCCAAGTTGCGCTTTTTGAAAGCATGCGCATGTAGTTGTTGTTGTAGCTCATTGAGTGACTTGACGTTTTCAGTGAAGATCCAGCGTGACAATTTGTCATCCAGTTGAGCCATGTGTGCCAACGTTAACGACACTGCAATCTCTTCCAGATTTGTAGACTTCCACTTTGACAAGAGCAGCGTGACGATGCGAGTCCCATATTCAGCGGGACCTTCTCCCTTCTTGGGTCGGCCATGTAAGACGTTTAAGAGAACAGCTGCATTGGTCTCAACTCCGATGAATCGTGCAGTGAACAAATCCTTGAACTGCGTCCAAGTAATGCCAGCGTAGCACACTTGTGACAGCCACTGCGAAGCGCTACCTTCCAGAGCCTTGCTCAATGCCATCACTAGTTCGCTGCCTTCGACCGTGTTGTCCGCCATGACCAAATCCACCGTAGTGCACCATGCCGAAGCGTCCGTACCATCGCCATCTGGGTTGAATTTCGGGAGCGTCACTTGTTTTGTTTTTTTTTCTCCACAGAACTTTCAGGTGTCGTCAATTTTTTAATTATTTCCATGAGACTCCCGTTCTGCGCTAAAAGCGATGTGATGTCAAGATTGGGAGGCTGAGCAGATCCCACTTCTGATGTCGCAGCGCGATTTTCATCGCTGATGCCATTCATATTTACAGATTTAAAAGTGTAGCGCGTTTCTGTTGTTGCGTGTCGCTGTCGTTCACCATCACCGGAAAGAGAGTGAAGCCACGCTTCCACCACTCGACCGACCACCACAAAACAGAGTCGCACTGGCGATATATCGGTCCATCGACTTACCACCACACTTTCCCGTCTGTACAGCAACCCTGTTACTGTGTTGTACATTGTCTCAAGTGTTATACAACACTGTCTGCCTCTTTAGGCGCCAACTTCAAATTAATAATTCAATCTCCTACATATACATATTGAGAGAGCAGAGAGCAGAGAGAACGAGAGAGCAAGAACAAAAATTGAGCATCTCTATGCTCAATATTTTATTCAACATTTGACCATCTCGGTCGAGCGCATGAAGCGGAATGATTGTACTTTCGCATATTTTCGTAGCCCGAACCTAAAAAGTGAAGAGCCGAGCAAATACGAAATTGATAGGCCCTAGGAGACAGATTTTTCGGTGTTGAAAAACTTTGTACTACATGTCTAGTCTATGTGTTCTCTGGTCAGTGGTTATGCCAATTTGCCTACAGTTTTCTAGTATTTTTTTCAGCATTTTTTAGCGTATTGACCTATCCGACGATGGTCACACGCAGGCGCCATGCAGAAGTGAGATATGTGAAATCAAAAGACTACGAAACAAAACAAAACTGCAAGACTTAACAGCTAACATAAATACAATTTACATAGATTATTTACTAATTCTCTCTCTTTTTTTCTTCTCTTTTCAGGTAATCGCTGGAATCCATGAGGGTCCAATTGGGATGGGGCATCGGGCTGCAGTTCTCATCTGCTGATCGTCGTCAAGTGTAGTGTTGGAGAGGGGGGAAGAACAGCCAGTCCAGCTGTCTGACCCCCTCCCGTCTGTGGCGCCATCCAGTTGTTGCAGTGGGCATGGGTGAGTACAGCATATGCATTAGCTTGCATACGCATAACTATTCTCGCAATTATACTTATCAAGTATCAAGTATGTACATTTGTGTGAATTGCAGTGAAGAAGAAATAGAAATATTTCATTAGTGGTGCAATAATAAATAATATTATTTTGCTTTGTTTTTGTTTGTTTGTTTTTGCAATAATAAAATGAAATTATATATATATATATTTTTTTTTTCTTTTTTTTATATTTCTTTTTTTGCTTTATTTATTTATTTTTCCTTTTTATACTCATTCACGAAAGTGAATCAGTATATTGGTTTTGTGCAATGTCCGTCTTGCTGTCCGTCCGTCTGTCCGTATGAACGCAATCTATTTCGGCGCAATTGAAGCTAGAGACTTGAATTTTGGAACACATACTCGTGTATATCTCCGATCTATAAAGTGTTAAAATTTTCCCGATCCGCCCACTAGGGGCGTGGCAAATCGGAAAATGCATTTTCCGATATACCAGAAATCATGTTAGTTGAAGAGCTAGAAAGCTGAAATTTGGTACGTAGGTCCGCGTCGACCACCCACGATCACGAACTATGGCGGATATATCTCCGTCTATTGGGGGCGTGGTAAATCGGCTAAAACTGTATCTCCTAAAGTTGTAAACCTAGAATGCTGAAATTTTGCACGTCAGCTAATGTTATGATTCTATAAAGTCAAAAGACAATTTATAAGTCTACGCCTATTAGGGGCGTGGCAAATCGGATCTGAAGATATAGTGATTTTTTATACCCATTTTCAATGGGAAATCAGGGTATAATGGTTTTGTTGAAATGTATGTAACAGGCAGAAGGAGGCGTGGCAGACCCCACAAAGTATATATATTCTTGATCAGGGTGACGAGCTGAGTCGATATAGCCCTGTCCGTCTGTCCGTCCGTCCGTCTGTCCGTATGTATGAACGCGTCGATTTCCGAAGATATAAGAACTAGAGACTTCAAATTTTTTTTTTAAATGTTCGTAATTACAGCGCGGATATCGAGTTTATCATTAAAAATCGATAAATCATCCCGATCTTTTTTTATTGATAAAAAACCTTATCGAAAACCAGTGATAAAAATATATCTTCTACACCTTTATTGCTAGAGTCTCCAAATTTTTAATGTATGCTTATATGCAATTTATACAATCTCGGTTTTTGTTAAAATTTACCCCCCACCCCTATATTCACCCCCTCACCATCCCTTTTGTAAAAGGCTTATTTCAAATACTAGAGGCTTGTGCTTTACATGCATATCTATGTTATAATCAAAATCTGAAAGTTTCATGAAGATCGTATGTCCACAAAAAAAGTTATTAAACAATTAAGTTCTCATAGTAAGCGCACACTGCGCCCATGCGTGTTTATGCTTGTGTGTGTATGTGTTTGTGTATGTGTGTATATATGTTTGTGTATGTGTATGTGTGTGTGTGTATATGTGTATGTTTTTTTTTTTTTATATTCATTTATTGACAAAATTAAACAAATTGCAAGTTGCGTGGTGGCTAGGATAGCGCGAGTTATGTATGTATTTATGTAATCGATATAAGCATAATTTTAAGCGATTTGTCATCACTAAGAGAAAAAGTCCATAACTAAATGTTGCATGTTTGTGATGATGAAATGTCTAGCAACATTGTGAAATTAAAATTATGAAGAAAATAGCTATGCTACTAAGCTGGCGCCAGAAATATCTAGCAACATTGTGAAATAAAAAAGAAACATGCTATGTCGCTCGAATAGGCTAGCAGCATTTGAATAAAGTCAGTTCTAATCTGAGACTTAATGGAAGAAGTTGAACCTTGTTATTTAATTTCAAAAATAAAGAACTCAAAACAAAATTGGCGCAGCCGGTAGGATCCTTTTTTTAAAAAGGATTCTGTGATAAATACGAACTAAAAATAAGTCGACAAATTTATAAATCGATCATTATAAAATAAAAGTCAAACTAAAAATAAGTTGACAATTTTTATAAATCGAAAAAAAAAAGTACATCTCAACGCTGGCAACCAGAAAAGAAAAGAGAGCAGCATATTACGACAAAAGCAGGATGGCACAAGCTAACCCACAAATGCCAGCGCAGCAATTATATGAGCAGTTGATCAACAAGGAGCAGCAACTAGAGGAGCTACATCAAGCTTACGTCACGCTTCAAGGAAACATCAATGCGGCTCAGAAGGAACGATTGTTTCAAAACATCAATTATTTGGCAACGTTCACGGGAACAGGTGATATATCAATTAACTCGTTCTTCAGCAGCGTGGAGTACCTTCTCCAAGGAGTGGAGGACTCTGGACTAAGACGAGAGGCCACTAGGACAATCTTCAACAAGACAATCCAAGGACAGGCGAAGGATGTAGTTATCAATATACCGGAACCAGACAACTGGCAGCTAATCAAGTCAACGCTAAAGCTGAGGTATCGACCGGACACGGAACCCCATCAAATTTACCGTAAAATTTATGAGTTAAAAGTAGACACAGTAAGCGAACTTGCAGCAGAACTACAAAATATTAAGTATAAAACTGACGAATTAAGAGTTTACCATCAAAACGATAATTTTATAGATTTAAGTAACGTAGAAAGTTTACTAGTAAATGCAGCTAAAGAAATGACTCAAGGCACTTTACTTGATAAAATATACGAAGAACGAAATTTAAATGATATTCTAAAAATAATGATGTTACGTAGATACGAAAATAGTTGTATTAGATTTCAATATAAGAAAAGTAAACCCAATAGGTATAACGCTGAGGCTGAGTTTAGCAAGAAAAATAATAATTACAAAAACGAAAATACCCAACAACAAAATTATAACAAAAAGCAACAATATTATCAACAAAATTATAACAAGAACAAGCAATCTTATTATCAACCACAAAGTGGTCAAAACAATAACCAAAACAATCAGCAACAATTTTACAGAAACAACTCAGGTCAGTACAGACAAGATTATACTCAACACAATTCAGGACAGAGTCACCCTAACCAAAACAATCAGCAAACAATTTCACAACAGTCAAAACAGTATAGGTCAAGGAATTCAGAACCCATGGAAATAGAAAACCTAGAAACCAAGCAAGATACAAACAGTTCCCAAGAAACAAAAAATGACTACGACCAGGCAGAGGTTAATAATACAGTTTTTTTTATGAAGCAGCCTCGGAATGCCTACCATTATTAGAACTTAACATCGATAAACATAGATATATAGCATTAATAGATACAGGAGCAAGTTTAAGTCTAGTAAACAACCAAATTAATGGGCACACAAAGATTAAGCTGAATAAACCCATATCATATAGCACAATTAATAGTAAGGACATAATAGAGTATGAAATTCATACAACAGCACCTAGAGAATTCAATTTACCAAACAACGCTAGAGTCCGCTGGAAGTTAGCCCCACTAAAGGGAAGGAAGTATAACTTTATTATAGGTATAGACCTTCTACAATTTTTGAGTGCAGTTATTAACATTGAAAAATACAGTTTAACATTAAATCACAAAGAAAACCGTATAATAAATAAGCCATATCAATATGAAGAAATCTGTGCATTAGAGAGTACTATAGATAAATATGATAGCTTGGCATTAGATCATTTAAATACACAAGAGGTAATTGAAGTTAAGAAAATTATAAAACGATATAGTAAACTCTTTTTTAAAGAAGGAGATAAACTAACTAGTACAACCGAAATAGAACATGAAATACGGACAACTACAGATGAACAACTTAATTCAAAGCTATATAGATACCCACCACAGCATGAGGAAGAAGTGAGAAAACAGATAAAAGAAATGGAAGAACAGGGAATTATTAGAAAAAGCAATTCAAGATATTCGAGCCCACTTTTAGTAATACCAAAAAAGTTAGACAATTCAAAACAACAAAAATTTCGTATTGTAATAGATTATAGAAAACTCAACGAAATAACCATCGACGATAAATTTCCTATTCCTAATATTAATTCAATTCTTGATAAACTCGGAAGAGCCCAGTACTTCACAACAATAGATCTAGCAAAAGGCTACCATCAAATTTTAGTAAAAGAGGAAGACAGAAAGAAAACTGCTTTTGTTACGCCGCATGGCTTATATGAATTTATTAGAATGCCATTTGGGTTGAAAAATGCCCCCGCCACTTTTCAAAGACTAATGAATGAAATCTTAAGAGACTTTATTAACAAAAAATGTGTCGTATATTTGGACGATATACTTATTTTTAGTACATCGTTGCAAGAGCATGTTCAAGCCATCAACGAAATATTTAAAGTATTAGAGGATAAGAATTTGAAGATTCAAATCGATAAATGTAACTTCATGAAGAAGGAGACAGAATTTTTAGGTCATATCTTAACCAAAGAAGGTATTAAACCAAATCCAAACAAAATAGCCATAATAGAAAAGTTACCTTTACCAAAAACAGAAAAGGAGATAAAAAGTTTTTTAGGCATAACAGGTTTCTACAGAAAATTTATTAAAGATTACGCAAAATTAGCACAACCCATAACAAAATATTTAAAGAAAAATACTAAAATAAATACAAAAGATCCAACTTTCATCGAAGCATTTGAAAAGTTAAAGCAACTTATTTGTTCACATCCTATATTAAGATTCCCTAACTTTGAAAAACCATTCACGCTTACAACTGACGCTTCAAATTATGCCATAGGATCGGTTCTTTCTCAAGAAGGGCATCCAATTTGTTTTGCGTCAAGAACGTTGAACAATCATGAGAAAAATTATTCAGCAACAGATAAAGAATTTTTAGCAATACTATGGAGTGTAAACTATTTTAGACCATATCTCTACGGAAGAAAATTCAAACTATTAACAGATCACCAAGCGATAAAATTCTTATATTCAAAACATAAAGGGAAAGATATTTCGCCAAGGCATCAAAGATGGTTGCTAAAACAAGGAGAATATCAGTTTGATATAGATTACTTAAGAGGAAGAGAAAACAGAGTAGCCGATTTCTTAAGCAGAATAAAAGGTAATGATTTTGACCCACAGCAAGATAACAATAACAATATATCAGACATAAACATAATAACAAATATTGAAGAAGATAACTATTCGTTAGCAGCAACTATACATTCAGCAGAAGAAAATTTACAGGATCATTTTCTAATAAAGGAAGAAATAGTAAATAAATATAAAACACAAATAATAATAACAAATGGCAAAACAGAAGAGTGTAAAACGATTCATGGAAAAAGAATAATTTTCATAGCAAAACACGACTTCCCAACAATGGAAAAAATTTTTATGAAATACTTAAACAAAGGAAAAGTAGGTATATATTCAGATCTACCGGATCAAGAATATAATATAGTGCAAGAAAAATTAATTCAATTATACTCTAACAACAAACAAATAGAATTCACTAAATGCACACATAGAGCTCAAGATATAGAAACTGAAACGGAAGCTGTAAAACAAATATCTATTTACCATGTACAAGAGAGTATGCATTCAGGTATTCAAGAGACGTACAACAAAATAAAAAATAAAATATTTTACCCTAAGTTATTAGAATTAATACAGACAGTGATCAACCAATGCGACTTTTGCAAAGAAGTCAAATATGATAGAAACCCAGTTAGAAACAAATTTGTTAAAACAGAAACTCCATCGGATAAAAACCAAATAATACATATAGACACATACGTAATAAAAAACACATATTTTTTGACTATTATAGATAAATTTTCGAAATTTGCAGCCGTTTACCCACTAAACGATAGAAACCATATAACCATCGTAGAGCAGATTGAAAATCATTTTACAAAAATAGGCAAACCAAATAAGATTGTAGCTGACAATGAATTTAATTCAATAAGAATTAAAGAACTATTAAGCCGAGAAAATATTGAATTACATTTAACAAAACCAAACAGCCATACAGGCAATGCAGATGTAGAAAGACTGCATAACTCATTGGCAGAAAAGTTTAGGATAATACATAATACAGAAACAGAAAACATATCAGTAAAACAAATTATGCAAAGGGCAGTAAGAAATTATAACGACAGGTACACCTTTTGAAGCGCAAAATAATAAAATAGATTTAAAAATCATTAAGAATAATATAGAAACCACTAAAATCAAGATGCTGGATAAGAACAACCGAAACAGAGAAAATTATGAAGAAGAAAGAGAAGAGGGGTTTATTAAAAATTATAAAGCAGTCAGACACAAAGAAGTACCAAAGTTTAAAAAAGCTAAACTTAAGAATATTAACCCAGCAAATATAAAACGTGTTTACAAATTTACAGAAGACAAGAATGATAACAGAATTGAAGACTCATCAAATACTTAACCAAAACAAAATTCGCTCTTTCTGAAGCATAGCAGAGCAAATCAAATATATTAACAAATGTTGATAATTTTATTTCTTTTAAATATTTGTTTCTGACAAACAGCAATCCTTATAAGTATTCAAAATGAAATCAAAAATATATTTTTTTATATTTAACTGAAAAAAAAAAAAAAAAAAAGAAAACTATCATAATTAATCAAAGAATATAAATAAATAATCAAAGTTACTACTCATTACTCAAAACAATAATTATAAGTAATACCTACCTTATATATTACCTTTAATAAGAAAATTAATAACAACACAGAATTCAGGAGAATTCTTATTTAAATGAGGGAGAAGTTATGTATGTATTTATGTAATCGATATAAGCATAATTTTAAGCGATTTGTCATCACTATGAGAAAAAGTCCATAACTAAATGTTGCATGTTTGTGATGATGAAATGTCTAGCAACATTGTGAAATTAAAATTATGAAGAAAATAGCTATGCTACTAAGCTGGCGCCAGAAATATCTAGCAACATTGTGAAATAAAAAGAAACATGCTATGTCGCTCGAATAGGCTAGCAGCATTTGAATAAAGTCAGTTCTAATCTGAGACTTAATGGAAGAAGTTGAACCTTGTTATTTAATTTCAAAAATAAAGAACTCAAAACAAAATTCGCGCGGTGCTTGCGGGACGGCCGTAAAGCATTGCTTCGCAAGCACTATGCGCTACCTTAGCCTGGGACAGCTCGTCTTCTAAGTCGCTCGACTCTGCGGAGCTCCATCATCACCGTGGCCGCGAAGGTGCTTGTTAGTTCCCAAGCTTCCTCCGATTCCAGCATGGCGTTGACTAAGTTGTCCGCTCTGATGGAGCGGCCCACTGCCTCTTCCAGACGACGCCTCTCCTCCAGGAACCGTCCACATTCGAAAAGAATGTGGTTGGCGTCTTCCACATGCCCTCGCTCGCACCAGGGGCACTCGTCAGATTCCTCGTGGCCAAAGCGCTTCAAATAGCTCCGAAAGCATCCATGACCCGAGAGGATCTGCGTAAGGTAGAAGTTAACCTCGCCATGTTTGCGGTTAACCCATGGTTCAAGCTCCGGGATGAGCTTGTGCGTCCACCGCCCTTTAGCTGAGCTTTTCCACCTTCTTTGCCATCGTGCGATGCTGTTCGCCCTGACAGCGTTGAGTCGCGTAGGCCCGTGCGAATTCCGCTCCACGGCTTCGGCGACCAAATACTCCAGTGGCACCATACCGGCTATGACGAGCGCCACGTCATCGGAGATAGTCCTGAAAGCGCAGCTGACTCTGATTGCGCTCAGCCTGTAGATCGCGCAAATGCCTCGGCTGTAGCTCGGCGTTGCCATCGCTCTTGCCCATATTGGCGCAGCATAGAGGATGACAGACCTAATGACGCTCATTAAGAGGAGACGTCGTTGCTGTTTAGGTCCCCGCGTGTTAAGCATGATTCTCGAGAGAGCTCTACAAGAATCAGCTGCCTTTTTTATGCACATATTCTAAGTGCTCGCGGAAAGTTAATCTTGTGTCTATCATGACACCAAGATATCTTATCGCCCTCTTTGACGCAATGGTGACGCTGCCGATCTTTATATTGGCAGTTTCCACTCTTTTGCGACTGCTGACCAGTACAACTTCGGTCTTGTGTGCCGCTAGCTCGAGCCCAGCTCCTGTCAACCAGCTTCGTATGCGATTGATACTTTCGCTGCACATATCCTCTGTATCTTTGAGCTCCTTTCCTATGGCTACGACAGCTACATCATCAGCAAAGCCAATGGTGTGCGCGCCTGCTGGTAGTTCCAAGCGCAGTACGCCGTCGTACATGATCATGATCGCTCATCTGGTGGTTTGCCAGCCTTGGGTAGCAATACCAGATTCTGGGCTTTCCATTTTGCCGGGAACGTCTCTTGGATCAGGCATTCGTTAAATAATTCGGCGAACGTACTTGGGTGCAAGGTGAGGGCTAGCTTTAGCGCACGATTTGGGATCCCGTCCGGCCCTGGAGCTGTGTTGGTTCTAAGACCTCGGAGAACTACTGATATTTCTTCCTCTGTAACTAAAACAATTTCAGTGCTCGTTGAGCCCTGATCAGCAGACTCGGACTCAGGGGCGTGAATGGAGCTTAAACTTTCTGGAAAGAGTGTTTCCACAATCGATTTAA